AAAAAAAAAAAAAAAAAAAAAAAAAAAACTACAAGTGTGTCTTCTTATAAAAGGTTGCTCCCATTAAAATCCAACTTTATTCAGGATAGGAATATATAATCTTCATATTATTTTGTCTGAAGCATTTCATTATTGTGATATTTTGTCATTTAATGAGTGATTGAATATGGAAATGTCTCACAGAAAAGTGCCAGCTTATATATCCAGATTATCCAAACCTTACTTTTAACGACAATGACAAGGATTTATGGACACATCAGTTACAGTTTACTTAAAAAAAAAACATTTAGTTAACTAAAAAAAAAAGAAGAAGAAGAAGAAGAGAATTAATAAAAAGAGAAATATACGATCGAATAGATATATATGAAATAATGAATAGATTTGGTTCATACTTTTCACTTTCCACATGAAATTATACCGTGACCTTCCTCAGAGTGACCATAAGCTTTGTGAGGTATAGCTTCAATTTTGTGTGGAAAGTAAAAAATTTAAACTTATGATCATTATCAGCAGACTACAAAGATGACTTTCCATAAGAAAATTACTGGAAACTCATTTGTATGGTTACCATAATGGATACACATCTTCACTTTGCAGTAACGAATAACACAATGGTAGTATGCTTATAATAGATGAAATATTTCAGTGTTCTCTGTGAAAATATGCCTGCCTGTAGAATCATAACAGTTGAAAGAATTGACTCATACTTACTCACTGTCACACAATATTGTATTGTCTTATTTCAGAGAAGGTCAGGAGAATTGATGGACCCTATGGAGCCAGTATTTCATGGGTTGCTGACAGTGTTGGATGAGGTGCTGATTCCCAGTCTGTGTATGATGAACTGCAACTGTGGAATGAGTGAGGAAATCTGGGCCCTGCTCAAGTATTTACCCTATGAACACAGGTAGGAAGCAGACCCTAGTGTTCTTCTGTACTTGTTTCACATTCATTGAGGAGTTCTGTAGACCCGAAAATTAGTAACCGTTGTTGTTATTTTAAGGGATGGATTTTACGTAAGAAATTTTGTAGTCTCCAGTCTTGAGTTATTGAAATTAGGAGCATGTGATCCCCACGATCTATCAGCAAGCTTCTTATGTGAGTTAAAGGAACCCACGAGTTTTCTCAGCAAACTTGCCCATCAAATGCAGGTGAAAATCTATACTTCATATTTGTTCACCTTACCTGAGTAAAGCACTATCAAAAGATGCCAACTTTTTGCCTCTGAAGTTTGCCAAATGTAACAGCAGTTGATTTAAAACTGAAGAGCAGCTAGGCTGCGGGTTTCTTCTCCAAGCCCCAAGGCAAGGAGTCACTAGTAGTGTTCCTTTGGAGCTTGCTTGCATTGAAAACAAATGGCAGTGTGTATCCGTTATAAAAGAAGAGATAAATTCTTCCTTCCTAGAAATGACGTCCAATATGATAATATTTGATGGTTTCCAGTTACTCTGTCTAAAAGGATTTTTCAAACATAGATGATTAAATGAAATTTTAGTACCTTGGCTTAATCTCTACCTGGAAAGCATTGTTGCCTGGAAGCGATCTGTTTGCAACTATTCACCCAGAAAATTGAACCAGCATCGTCCAATATTGACTTACTTCCTTCTTACCAAGAAATTGTTTTCAAGATCCTTGCTTTGAATGTCACTAAATGGAAGATATCAATGACAATTTTGCTTTTTTTGGAGAAAGTGAGAGAGAGAGGTTTCTAGAATAAACACATTTTTCACTACACTCAATCAATATTGAAGTCTGTGGAAGAATTGAACATATTTATACACTAACAACTGACAAAGGTCCCTGGTGAGGAACACATTACCTTTTGGTACTGGCACCTATATCTTTAACAACTTATAATTTATTATAGTTTCTGAAAAGTGGAATGGAATCTTTTGGTATGACAGTCAAACCATATGAAGCTTCCAGGACTCCCATACCATCAGCCTTAAACAATATTGCAATTTAGAGTACTGGATTTAATATTCAGGTACTTCCATGACTTAATAGTAATAATAAAAGGGTGAAATTTGATGATCTATTAGATTACAAAATTTATAGGGATTATGATATTGGAATGGCTAGACTGTGCCTGCACTGGAATGAACTCAATTTGAAAGTGTGTGCAACCTTTTTCAAACTTAATTTCAGCATGGTGATAGCCCTTTTTTTGCTTCATCAAAGATGCAACTTTTTTGCCCTCTGGCTTGCAATATCCCCTGTCAAATTAGCAGTTTACAGGCAGATAAAATATAGATGAAAACTGTTATGAATCTTATGGTCTATGAACCTGTTTGTAAATGACAAATTAAGGTAATAAAGCTGATAAAAAAATCTACAGTCAGATTAAGTCTGAAGGAAATCAATAGATATCTACCTCGAGCTGGTAATGGAAATGATGAGACTTTATCTCAGCAGTAAGGGGGAAACTTGGAACCTTTGTTCACTCTTACAGACAAGTTGAATTTGGAGGTAGACGTGTTTTTAGAGGAATGGCAAATGAAATATAAAATTATATTATATGTGCAGTCTCATTAACATCTCTGACACACCCTAAAATGAGCAATGAATTACAGATCAGACTTGTAAAAGAAATTAGACTAAGTCTTTAAGTATGAGGATGTGTGATTAAAAGATATGTTTATACAAGTTTTGAAAATATCCACAGCAGCTCAATAATTAACAATTAATTCATTGAAACATCTGCTTTACAAAGTTGTGCTGTGAATTTGCTCAGCTTCTCCAGTTCTTATGTTGTGGCAAAATTCAGCTTCTGTACAACATGATGTAGTTGACTTGTTCATCTTCTCCAGTTTTTGTACTATGTCCAAATTCAAAGTCTTAGGACAAAACAATGCTGGCAACTTATTCATCTGTTCTCTAGGTAAAAAGCAATGGAACTTTTGATCATACAAGAGCCAGACCTGTTTACTTGCCTAAACAAATGGATGCAAGTCGTAGTACTTATCAATTAGAATGCATCTTGATTGACCCCATGATGTGACTAATTTGATGAAATATATAATGATTAAAGATATGCTTTTACTGTAAAACTTCAGTAATGCTGCAAATCTTTTTTTTTACCTGTGAGAGATGTATGTTTGCAATTACCTCTCATATTTCAGAAACACTCAGACTTCATTAGTTCATTATTTACGGGTAATTTAACTAATCCATGCATATGGAAAAAAAAACCTATCAACTTACTGAGTTTCTGACTCAGGAAAGAACACTTGACTCTGCTCTCCAGGGACTTGAAACATGTCATCAAAAGTCCTCCACTTTAAAAATTGCAGCTTGATCAATAAAGCCACATAGATCTGATTGTTTTGCCTTGAGTTGGCTCTTGATCATGAATTCATACAGCCAACAAATTGAAACAAAAACAGCAAATCCAGCATTTTTTTTTTTTTGGAGGGGGGGGGGGAAGAAACAAGAATATGACAGTTATGGTAGACCCTTTTACTTAAAATGTGAGTTTTAGGGAGCGTTCGGATAAACCTATTGTACTAGCTGGATCAATTCAACTCTGCAGGAGATTTTTCCTAATTGCAATCACTGTAATTGGTCTAAATTTCTGGCACAACGTCAAAATTAAAATTTGTGTAAGAGAAAGTAAAAAGATTGTCAGCAGCAAACAGAATTTACCTTCAAATTATCCAAAATGTAATGTGAATTGATCACAAATAAAAACTTCTCACCTCTTTTAGCCATCACTTGATCCTTGGAATATTTCCCAAGCACTCCTAGACATTAGAAAAAAACCTAATGTTTCAGCTGTATGTACTTCCCAGGTAGACACATAAACTGCAAAATAATCCTATGATTGATTTCCCTGAAGATTTTTTTTAGACTTCACATGAGTTTCTTGATGTTTGGAAGTTTTAAAGATCACCACGAACATTACTCTTTTAAATGCCCTCTCTTCACGATTTCCAAATGATTACCTACTTGGTAAGACCTTCTGACAAACTCCCAAGTCGAAGAGTTGGGTTAACACTACACCTAACTGGACCTCTCATGGATCACTCCTAGTGCACACTTATGTCTAACCAATGAGCTTCTGATTGAACTTTGTCACGGTTTCATTTTCTTTAACGGAGACTTTAAATGCTTTACATAATGCAGTCAGTTTATTTCCTCGTTTGCTGAGTCCTAACTGTTGTGCTCTTGGACCGAGCCAAGCTGAGACCTGTTGGTGTTGTGTTAACCTGCCTAACTGTTAGGACACCTGCATATTTTTAGGACTAGCCTCAAACTGCGTGTTCCACTCTTTATATTAAGATATAAAATTGGAAGTTCCGACTTATAAACATGCTCTCAGCAGGGTTGCCTCACCTCAGTGAATGGAAGTTTTTTTCTGATTAAATCTCAAAACCTAGACAGGTGGCTTTAAGGATAACAATTATCTAACATTTCTTTTTTTTATTTTTTGTATGAATATTTTATAGATCATTAAGAAGGATTGAGTGACTCCTAAGTACAAAAATCCATAAGTGTTTTGTTGACTTTTCAGCAATCAGAGAGCTAGAAATAGATCACCTGCAGACAGGGAAGGATTAAGATTAAGAGGGATTACCTTTAGTATGTTCAATTTCCTGATAATATTTAAAGGTTTAGCTGACCTTTTTATCCAGGGTTTTTGATAAGGTCAAATAGATTAATTGTTTTTATGACATGACAGGTGTTATCTACTTTCATTTGTACTCATTTTTTTTTCACATAATAAAGCTATGCATGTTTTGGCCCATTTGTAGTTTATGTGAGACCATCTGTTTGCATTAGTGGAGTTTTGACTACCTAATCAGTTTTCTAGGCATATGTTAGGCGCCTTAAGGTGTATGCAGGTAAATTTCTGTATTTTAAAACATTCTGTAGAACTATTCGGTTTTTGTGGCAGCAAGGCTAAGAAGAGGGTGCCACATGGGTTATTATTGCCAGATAGTTTAGTGTTTTGTCGACTCTCGTTAAGGAAAGATGATCCTTTCTGCTAATGTTTTTAACCTTCTCTATCACAAAGTGGCATCTTTTACTCCTGGCTCCTAACTGAAGGATTAGAAAAAACTTTTTTTTTATTATTTGCTCAGTGGAACCAAACATTTTGATGGTGAGAGGCCTTAAAGAGTATTCTGATGCCAATTTATCTGAATGAAGTGCTCAAATTTGGTACATGAAAGTTGTAGATTTTTAATTTCTATGCATACTGATGCTAACCTTCTTGAAAAAAAAAAGAATCCATTCTCTAATGAAGACTTGGTCCATCTCATTTTGGCAAAGTTTCTATTGATGAAAGCATTTGTAAAGAGGTATTGTCTCATAACAAGTGACAGTCAGAAGTGTCTTCTGTCTGCTTAATAGATTTAGTGTTTTATGTCTTCTTGAAAAATAACACTGTGCCAGTGGTGGGTACATGCTGTGAAAAGCATGTAATGTAGTAACACTTATTTTGTATGTGCATTTTGTCTTTTTTTCTTTTCTGTATCTTTGAAAAACATTGATATGTAAAAAAATGCCTGTTATTGATTTGGAAGAAATGTCAGTGTGATGCATTTAAAAAGAATGAGACCAAGTAAAATTGTTGTAAAGTAGAAGACATGAACATTAAAAGTTTAAGTTTTAAGTTCAAGAGTGGGAATTAAAAGAATACATTGAATATGGGTTTCTTAGATTGCTATTTAGGAGAAGATGAGTATTTCTTCAGATTGACTTCATTCCAGTCAGGGTTGGTATTTACAAAGGATGTGCCTTACAAGAAGTCACATGAAATAATATTGAATCTTTTAATCTTTCTATGGTAAACTGACATGATTATACTATTCTGCTATTGCTTAGTTCTGTCAAATGAAATTAGCTTAAGGTTTGGCCACTTTGATTTCATTTGATAATCAGATAAACTGGTCCAGTGATCAATGCCTGAAGTATTGACTATATGTTACATGAATTTTACTTCCAAATAGTTCGTTTTGTTGAGTGGTTGACGTATAACCAAATCCTGGATAATGAGAAAATTGGACGATGTACTTAAATTTAGACATGCTTGTTACTTTTTCACTTACCACACATACTTGTTGAGTTTACCTTAATCCCCATGTGATAACATACCCAAACAAATACCCCATTGCCTGTAGCTTAAAGGGATTAGTTAGTAGGAATTAAATCTGAGGATCAAAGACATAGATTTCGTCCAGAACCTCAGACACGATTTGTTTGACTGAAATGACTGAGGCTAGTGATAAAAATGAGAAATTGAATTTCTTTTAAAATTTTGTGTTAATTTCAGTGACTTGAATAAACAACCAAAAGACATTATACCTTTTAGTAATTTTTATCTAAGTGATTTTCATTTATTTATTTATATTTCCAGGTATCTTCTTTATGGGCATTGGAAAAATGAAACATACAACATTGAACCTAGATTGATCAAAATAAGAGCAGATTGCCTAGAACGTGCTAAGTATATCATGAAGTAAGCACACTATAGTTTTTCCCTTTATTGATCTTTAAAAAAAATGTACTATTTTACATTCAGATTTTAAGAGAAAAATCCTAGTATTTTAGGTGTGTATCCAGGACATATTGCTCACAACTTATCACTGACTATTCTAGAAAATTGTATTATTTTATATAATAAGTTTTAAAATATGCTGTTATCTGAAATATAATTGATCATTAATTTTAGTCTATAACATAAAAAATTTTTTTGCACTTTTTAATATGATTTTAAATCATTTTGATTAAAATGATACAATATTGTACTGAAAATATCTTACTAAAATTGTTTATTACTTTTGTTTTGCAGGAGATTGTCCAAAGAAAATGTAAAGCCTTCAGGTCGTCAGATTGGAAAACTAAGTCACAGCAACCCTGGGGTTATTTTTGAATATGTAAGTGTTGAATAGGACACATGCTGAGGGTGACTGTTACCTTGAAAATGTACTGCTTTCTAAAGCATGGGTTGTGTGAATAATACAGTGAACAAAAGGCACATCTATATGATTTGATTTGATTTAAAAGCATTTGCTATTTTTATGAAAAATTGTTTTCCCAGTTGGCAAGCAGTCGGAAAAATGAAGGCCAGTCCCTCTTACTAATGTATCAGTAAAACTTGTCGACACATATATATATTTTTTTTATTTCCAGATCCTGTCTCAAATTCAGAAGTATGACAACTTTATAGGACCTGTGGTGGATTCCTTGAAGTATCTCACTTCCCTTTCCTATGATGTATTAGCTTGTATCCTTCTACTGAACAACAAAAAAAAAAAAAAAAAGAAGAAGAAGAAGAGTAACACTGGGATCTGGTCTTAATCTTTTTGATCTTTGTGATAAAAAATGTCCTTTATTTGCTCCACAGGGTTTAAGGATAAAATATACTGCTGAGTGATTGGTGTTTTTAGAGAAGCTGCTTATGGAAGTGCATGAGGGTACATTTGTTTGTGTTGTGTGTTTGAGAGAGAGAGAGAGAGAGAGAGAGAGAGAGAGAGAGAGAGAGAGAAGAAGTGCATGGGTGTGGCAGGTGTTGTTTATCTGCATTAAGACAGAAAAAATGAGAGAAGAGAAAATGAAATAAAACAGTAACTTACTTTGACCCAGACTTCTTAATGACCTATGTGCTAAGGACTTTTACAAAACCTACTGACAATCTTTTATTGATTTTTAATGTGTAGAACTCTTGTATATTTTTACTTTTTGTTGGCATTTTGGTCACTGGGTCAATGGAAACCAATTAATTTTGGCCCACAAGTGTCTATCATTCGAGGAATTGAAAACATGGGAAGTGTTTTGTATTGGTTGTCATAGATAATGACTTGGTTTTACATTTGGGAAATTTAAAAGTACATTTCCGTATTGGCTAGAACTATGTGAAAAATGCTCCAGGGTTTTAATACGTGTCTTCTTGTCAAAATGGCAGTAAACATTGAAAATATATGTGGGCAACAAGAGGAGGGAGGGAGAAAAAAATAATCCAGATCTACTTTTCTTCAGTTTATTGTGCGATATTACTATCAGTGTTAATACTAAGTCCTATCATACATCAGACAACATGACCACAGGTTTAACTGAAAATTGATTGGCATTGTAAGATTTAACTTAAAGAATCTTAAACTAGATATTTGGTATAAATTTTAAGAAACTTCTTGGGATATCAGATAATCCAATTGTACATGGTCATGGAATTGCATTATAGAAGCAAATTAAGATAAACATTGCTGTTTGTTCTCTTTTAATTTAGTTAAATATTTTATCTGAAGAACCCTGTCTCTGATAATTATACCCATGACTGTATTTTTCCTTGACCTACCTCCCAGATTGTATTATAGAAGCTCTTGCTAACCCATCCAGAGAGAGAATGAAGCATGATGATACTAACATATCACTGTGGCTGCAGAGTAAGTGCTCAGTATTGTTACAAACTAAATGTTAGATTTTTTTGAAAAATGAAAATATGGTGAAATGTGACATTAATATTTTATTATTTAGAACTGTTTGATGGCACTGGAAATAGTTATTCAATGATTATTGATTTAATATAATAACATTGCAGCAGTTTATAAGGTACTTATTTTAGTTTAAATAGAATTGTGGTATCCAATTAGTGTGCACTTTTGGTTCAAATTCTGTTTAATGTTATACATATTAAAATTATTAGTGCATATTATGTTAAGTTTTCCTTTCCCTTGTGTTGAGTTTTGTTACAAGTCTTGATTTTTATCCTTTTTTCGTTCTTTAATTGATTTACTGACAAACTACCAAATGGAATATCTCTTTTCAGGTCTTGCCAACTTCAGTGGCGCCATCTTTAGGAAGTATCAGATAGAAATGGCAGGTTTACTGCAGTATGTGGCCAACCAACTCCAGGCAGGAAAAAGGTGAGCTTCAGAAAATATTTGATTAAGTTGATTGATGAATTTGTTGGAAAATTGATTATTGACTAGGTGATTGATTCATCAATCATTTATTTGATTGCTGTATGAATTAATCATGTGTATTAAATTGATCCATTATTATAGGTGGTCAGTTTCATGGATGACTGATGAATCAGTACCCTCTGGACTTTGTTTTCTGTGGTCTTCAATTAATAAATGTAGTTTAAAAGAAGTGCATGATATGCCATGACAAATTGAACTGGACATTATGCTGTCTTTTAAAGATAATTGAGTAAACATGGTGAAATTTGCATAATTTCAAGTAATTTGCATCAAGAGTGAAAAAGGATGATTTTGAAAATGAAAATTTAATTAATTTGTTTACATACTATTTCATTTCTCTGTTTTTAGAGTGCATTTAAGTTGCAAATAGTTAAGTTTCTGATGGCATATGTTGTAAATAGGTTTGTCTATTGCTTATTGTACATTTATATATCCGTGCCATTACTTGAATAAAAATTGACCTGAGGACATCTTGTGACTTTTCCAGCTTTGACCTGTTGATCTTGCGTGAAATCGTACAGAAGATGGCGGGTATAGAGATCTCAGAGGAGATTACAGATGACCAGTTAGAGGCTCTGGGTGGAGGAGAGCTCCTAAAACAGGAGGTACAGTGCTCTGATGTGTTTGATTGATGTGTTTACAGTGTCTCGTTGGATTTTGAATATATATTCCAAATTATATCATTTGAAGAATAATTACCAGACAAAAGATGTTGACAGTACCCTCTATCTGTGGAAAATCAATCTGTCGCCCTGGTAGAGGGTATGTTGACAGCGTGTCTTGCAATAGAGCAAGCTCTTTTTTTTCATTTGCCTTTTTTGACTAATGATATCAAAATGCTTAAACCATGTTTTGCAAAGATTTTACTTTATTATTAATAAGATGTAGGCCTATATAAACCAACCTTTACAGGTTTCGCAGTCTATGACTATATGCAGAATTTTGCAAATACACCCTCAGTTAAAAATAAGTAGCAAGCCCATGGTTTTGAACTGAGGTAAAAGTCTGACTGTCTCTAATTTTCATTTTCAGGGTGGATATTTTGCTCAGGTCAAGAACATCAAGAAATCCTCAAATCGTCTAAAGGAGACCCTGTTAGAACATGACCTGGCCATCCCTATGTGTCTGCTGATGGTGCAGCANCATTTGCCTTTTTTGACTAATGATATCAAAATGCTTAAACCATGTTTTGCAAAGATTTTACTTTATTATTAATAAGATGTAGGCCTATATAAACCAACCTTTACAGGTTTCGCAGTCTATGACTATATGCAGAATTTTGCAAATACACCCTCAGTTAAAAATAAGTAGCAAGCCCATGGTTTTGAACTGAGGTAAAAGTCTGACTGTCTCTAATTTTCATTTTCAGGGTGGATATTTTGCTCAGGTCAAGAACATCAAGAAATCCTCAAATCGTCTAAAGGAGACCCTGTTAGAACATGACCTGGCCATCCCTATGTGTCTGCTGATGGTGCAGCAGAGAGATTGTATAGTGTACCAGGAGGGAGGGGACAGGTTTATCAAACTGGTGGGGAAATTATATGATCAGGTAGGTGGAGTGTTCTAGGAAAGAAGGAAAGGAGTTCATCTAACTGGTGGGAAGCTTATTTTTAGATCAATTTTTGGTCTAAAATTCTTTTGTTAAACTGGCCTTTTTTCCTTTCCAATATGGTGTATTCAGATCAGTAGTCAAAGCTTTACTCTTAAGAGATTCTGAATTGAAATGCAGAATGGTAAATTATTTCATTAATTATATATGACTTCCAGTGCCAAGACACCCTGGTCCAGTTTGGCAGCTTCCTGTCCACCCAGCTGAGTACAGAGGAGTTTGTGAAGAGATTGCCCTCCATAGAAGTACTGGTTGGAGATTATCATGTAGCACCGGATGCCGCTTTTTTCCTTTCAAGACCTATGTATACTCATGCAATCAATGTAAGAGATGCTGGATAACTATTATAGTAGTGTCTATTATGTCATTTATTAATATTTTGTGTAGTTTTTAAGATTTATTTTCATTCTTGACTTATTTGGCTGGTCCCATTTGATAGTGATTTATATACATATAGTTTATTTTATTTAAGGAAAGAAGAATGAAGAGAATTGGAATTGGTTTAAACTGTAGAATCTGATATAACAGAAATACTTTTGTCCATGCTATAATATCACTTGTGTTATTTTATGTATGAATTTACTTTTACCATTACTGAAGTGAGTTTATGAATATAAAGGTGGGGATACCTGTGATGGCAACTGTTACTGTGCAAGAAAATTATCTAAGCAAATCTGTTTATTTCAGACAAAATTTGATGAGCTTAGAAAAATAGATAAAAGCAATAAAAATAGTACCAATCAACTGAAGGTAGGTTATCTTTTTCTACAGTGTTATCTGTTACTGTATATACATGACTAAAATAACTGTAAAACGAAAATTATTTATATCAGTCATTTTCATGCTTTAAGGAATAATGCTATGGGAGCTGTTTGATTTTCTCACTGTTATATGCATTCATGTGTGTCATTTTTCTGATTATGACTATTTTACATAATAGCTGTGTCAGTAGTACATGTAGTTACAATACTGTATACTCTGTACTTTCAATATATATCTTAAGACTCAGAGGTACATAGAGGCAGCAGCATCTGTGATGGAGCCAGTGATAGAGGCTGTGAAACCAGTCAACTCTCCAAAGGTGTGGGAGGAAATAAGGTAGGAAATAGGTTTAAGGTTTGCATCTGTCCATGGCCATTGACCACTAGGTTTGGTTCTGTACTATTGATTTAAAAATGAAGAATTTTTTCATAGGTATAAGTCCAGTCTGGCAAGTTGAAATTTACAATTAGGTTAATTTTCTGGTGTCTGTGAATTTCATCTTCAGACTGTTAATTTTGATTCATACTAAGCCTAGTAATCTTGTGATGTTTACTAGTCTGACTCTGACTTAAAAGTCCAGGGGTACATTATGATTTCTAAGAACTACCTAAATGCTGTCAAGTTGCTGTTATTTTTATTAAAGATATGATTTAATATGTTGATATAAAATCTGTCACTGGGTTTCTTACTAAAACTTACAGTAAATATGAATATGAAAATAGATAAATTAATACAAACAAATGCCCGGTGTTTGTTCCAGTCCTCAGTTCTATGTGACATTCTGGTCCCTGTCCATCTATGACCTCCATGTCCCCAGTGTGGCCTATAATAAACAAATGGACCAGCTGAGGAAGGTCCAGCAAGCAGTGGACGAGACCAAGGACATGGTAAGACCCCCCCTCTTTCTCTTTCTCTATTCTCTGTCTCTCGGCCTTGCCTTTCAGTTTCCTTGTCACTTTAATGAGGAATATCCACTATTGTTACAGCTTTTAATCACAGTGGTTGAACAATTTGATTTATATATTTTGCTTAAGGTAGCCTTGTGTTCTGCATAGTTCACTTTCAGGAAATTTGAATAACTTTGCTTTATCAAAAGTCTCATCTGTGAATTACACTTTACTTACGTGCTTATGATATACACCTTACTGTGAACTGTGAGAAAATTATTTTATGCTCTTTTTAAAGTCTACAACTGCTACTTTTCCTACTAACTACTACTACTACTACTAATCTTGAAAATAAGAACCATAGTGGTATTAGGAGTTACGAGACCTCTGTGAATTTTTATTCATAAAATAAAAACACCTTTAGGCTCAAAGCAAGAAGAAGAAGGAGCGAGAGAGGTGCTTTGCCCTGATAGACAAACTGAAGGATGAGGAGAGGAAACAGGAGGAACATGTCCAGAGGGTGGTGGCCAGACTGAAGGGAGAGAAAGACAACTGGATTCCTGCACGTATGTCTCAATATCACTGGAGACTGATTATTAGTTAACGCTAGCAAGTAATGTGTCCAAAGTGTGATAGTTTTCTGTTATAGAATTTTGAAAAATTTTAATGAATTGTCCTCCACCTATTGTGGAGATTGCAAAATTTATTTTTTGTTATATCAAAGATATGACTGTCATAAGAATTTACTTGATAGAATCAACAGATAAATGTAATTATTTAAATTCAGCAAACAAAATAACATTATTTTGCTAAGAGAACTAGCTGGGCTGCACACACACATCAGTCCCTGAGGCAATTTGCCGTGTATCAGTCTAATTTTTTTAATGCATTTAAACTTAGCAAAATGATCAAATATAGTTCAGAGTGAAAAATATATATGTGATAAAAAGAGTCGGGTAAAAAGTTAAGTTCTTACCTTAATTTTTCCTTCTTAACCACTCATCCACTGCTACATGTTACAGCTCAGAGGAGCTTTAAGATCTTGAGTTATGGTTAAGAGGCACTTCACAGCAGATAAAAACTTGATGAGGTTCAGCTTTTATAAGTTATTTAAAACACATGGTCTGAATGAAATTATATCCCGAGGGGTGGGCCAAGAGGCCACATGCCGGATGCTCCGTGTGACGCTTTGTAAGGTGAATGAGCCTGGCAACGTGTAATTTATGTCATAGAACTGAAAATCTGACTTCACTGAATTGAAATTACATATGTAAAGCACCCCAGAATGAGTAAATTATGTAGCCTCTGTTTCCCCTTCATTATTATGGTTTCGCCATTAAAGTTGAGTGAGGTTCAACTTGAGACGTTTGGTCTGTAAACAAGAGGGCAGGGCTGGCTATTATTGGTAATTCACTGTCTAAATAAGAGACCAAATCCCTCCCTCACTGCCTATACAGCTAGCTTTTAGTTCTGCCAAATCCAGGGCTTTGTTTATTGGCACAATGACTTAGATAGAAACTTAGGTGTTGAATTTTGAGGAATTTATACAATGGTATGTGACACAAGTCTTGCCCTCTGTGTTATACTTGGAGATATATACAGTTGGATAGTGAAACAGAACCTTGTCCTTTATTGTGAGTAGATTAGGTTTGATTTGTTTGCAAAGTGAATTTGAAGTCATGAATTTATGATCTTCTTACCAAAGGTGTGACTTGGGTTCAATTTGTCAGATTCACATTTCAATGGCATATTTGAAAGACTCATTTAAATTTTATTTGTTGATTAAAAACACATTATTGCTAATCTAGGATTAATGTCCTGTGAAAGACGTTAAAGTATACCTCATAAAGCGTTGCTTTGATTATCCAGTATTTGATTAGGGTTAAAGGTGTTTGGATATATTATAATTTGATATCCACATGAGTATGATATTACAGAATTTGATAACTTACAGAGTCTGTCAAATTTGTTATTGAGCATAATTTTAAGCAATATTTTATTTAAATTTTACTTTTAGAGTAACACCATTTTCTGTTATTGAATTTGAAGTATGTAAGTATTATTTGCAAAAAAGAAAAAAAAATGATGAATTAAATAAATTGTAGGTAAACATGTTTCAAATAATATGTGAAGCCAGACAGGTGCTCGACAATTAATGCAGTTAACCAGGGGCTCATCTAATGGCATCATGGCTATCATTTTATTATGGAAAACAAGCAATTATTAGACCAGTTTTACATGAAGTTAGATGACTGTGCTCAGTTTACCTGGTGGGATCTATTTACTTATGTTAGTGTTTTGTTTGAACAGAAAACAGCAGATGTATCACTTTGAGTTCCTCAATTTGTGTGGTACATGTTTCTTATGATGAACACATTTATCCTTGTGGAGAGAGAGAGAGAGAGAGAGAGAGAGAGAGAGAGAGAGAGAGAGAATGAAAGTGCCTGACTAACAAAATTAAGATTTCTCAGGTATGTCCAAAGCACATTGATTTAATTGAAATCAAAAAGAGGAATTTTTTTTTATTATCCTGATTTAGTACAGTTATGATCATGCTTACTTTATATTATAGGCTCCACAAAAAATGACACAATCACGCAATTCCTCCAAGTTTGCATTTTTCCTCGCTGCTGTTTCACTGCCAGTGATGCCGTCTACTGTGCAAAGTTTATAGAGGTTCTACACGAGCTGAAGACTCCAAATTTCTCCACTCTTATCTGCTATGATAGGGTATGTGTGCAGTAGTATGCTACAATTTGATTTTATTTTTACTGATTACTTTTTGAATGTGCACAGTATGATTTGATTTTATCTGATGTAATTTGCTTTGACAAGAAATGAATTTGTCTATTTCTACTGATTTGTTTTTAGAGAATTTAGTCTACACTTGATATATTCTGTACTTGTAATTTTACATATTACAGATATACTGTGATATTACCTATACTGTGGCTTGCTGTACTGAGAATGAAGCCCACAGATATGGCAGGTTCCTCTGTGCAGCATTTGAAACTATCATGAGGTGGCACTCAGACAAGGCTGTCTTTGAAAAGGTACAGGAATGGAGCAATAGTTATTTACTTAAAATTCATTTTCCCAAAGATTAAGCTTAAACTTAACCTCTTTGAATAGATTCTGAAACAAGAATGACATTCTTCAGCAACAGAAGTAAGTAAATGTTTGTGATTAAAAACGTATATTTTTTTAAAATCCCAAATTGCTATTATGATTCAATAGACTACTGTACCTACACTAGAGATCTGGTTTTCACAATTGCTTTCCAAATTAAAGTTTTGAATAGTTGAAGACAATCTGTTAATTTTTCATTCTTTTCTCAGCTTCTATTCTATCTGTCATTTCCAGGAGTGTGGTAGTCATCCAGGTTTTGTCACAGTGTACAGGAAGACTGACACCAATAACAAGACCAACCAACATGGCCAGCTGGACTATGAGAACTACAGGCATATCTGTCACAAATGGCAGTTTAGAACTACCAAGGTGAGGTCATGCATGTGCACACATGTACACACACACTGAGGCATCCAATAACATGGTCGTCTGAATTATTAATAAGACTGAATTTAAAACCCCGTTAATTGCATACTTACACAACAGACTACCCTCTGATATGTAATTTTAGTACATTGATTTTAAGATTATAAAATTTTATTTTGAACCATTGGAAATTTTTAAGACTATAAAATCTTACTTTGAACCATTGGAAATCATGAAAGTTAGATGATATTTTTTTTACCAAAGGGTACTTGATCTTCTGTCTCTTATGATATTTTTTCTTTTCTCTTTTCAGGCAATGGTGGCTTGTCTTGAATCAGGAGATTATGGACAAATCAGGAATGCTCTCATTGTGCTCACTAAGGTAAAGATTGACCTAATCCCATACACATATTTGTAAATAAATTCAGATGCATGCCATATCAGTATTACAGGGTGACCCCCCAAAAAATGGAACCCATAAAAAGTTAGATAAATCCTACAAAGGTATAAGGGATAACTGAAACTTTGGGGAATGATCATACACATATTGAAGTTTAAGTACAACAAATTCCTTGAAATTTGATAGACTTGTAGGATTTATTAAAAATTTTATCGGCTCAATTTTTTGGTCACTCTGTATTATTATTATTATTATTAACTTGCATTTCTTTACTATTAAATATTTGCATACTTATAAATTTGAAATCCAAAATGAAACCTTAACTTTAATATACTGTATAAAGGTTTTTTTTACGTAAAAGTACATGTATACATTGTACATCTTAGAAAGGTACCTTATTACTACATCAGTGTTACACAATTTGTCATTGATTAAGCTTCCTCTGCCAATAATACTATAATTCCATTGACCCTGGTGTGTTTAGGTACTCCAATACTACCCCAAAGTCCTGAACTACGGCCAGGCTCTGGAGAGGAGGGTGGACAGGATACGGCAGGAGGAGAAGGAGAAGAGACCAGACATCTATGCTCTAGCAATGGGGTAAGAATTGAAGTGCCCAGATTGGAGAAAATTGTCTGATTTGGGGATAATTTGAACGAGTGGCCAGATATAGTCTCTTATGCCATTTGATAATTATTTTTATTGTCATCTTCAGAGCTGCATGCTTTCTTTAACGTTAATTGAGTGTTAATCTCTGATATTTTTCTGAATATATATTTGGCACTGTGCTATCTTTTATGTTGATTGATTGTCAATTACTGAGAATTTTCTGAACCAGATTTATTTACTGTTGCACCAGTGGAATATTTTATCATGATTTATTCATGCATTCTGTGAAGTGATCACAGCATTAATGGAAAAAGTAAATTATATAATGAATCAATATTATATTATCACAGGTATTGTGCTGTGAATAATAGTAGATGTAATCATCCTTTTGCTTTCTGTTCCAGCTACATCGGGCAGTTGAAGAGCAAAAAGAACACGTGGATTCCAGAACAAGAGTTTCATATTAAAGAAAATGTAAAAAGAGTTTTGTTCAGTTTATTTATTTGCTAATTTATTTATTTGCAAAATGTAAAAGCAAATTAATAGTGCCATCATGTTTAATGTACAGATAAAAAAACTCTGAAGCTCTTAAAATAAACCAGAAAAAGTGAATAGAGAGGTTCTCTCTGTTTATTAGAAAAAATCACCTTAATATGGTATTTAGTTTATGAAGAATATCAGTCATTGAGTGGAAATTTGATTGCATATTTTCTGAGACTAGAATGGTTTGTGATATACTTACAGACGCGGCGTGTACAGAGCAAACAAGGCACCACAGTGAAGACCAACAGCCAGTCAGCACCAGTGAAGTCTGAACCCAATGGTACAGGGACTGCAGCCACAGCCTCAGAGAATGGAAAGACGGCAAGTTCTGGCAGAGTCAAAGAAGAGAAGGATGTGAAACAAGAAGGTATGTTTAATTAGATGGTGTTAGTTCTTAGACTAGAAATATATTTTTTAAAGATATTTGAAGTTTGTGATTAATAAGTAGGATTTAGTGTAAGCTAAGACCATGTTTGAATTGCCCATCTACAACTCAAATATCTCCGTTTAAAATTTGAGATGGAATCAGACTGAACTCACTCTAGGATGATGTTTTTAGTTAAATGATTTTTAGCAAATAAAAAAAAGGTATTTTGAACTAACTTCTATTTACCTGAACCAAATAAGACTATTTTATGCATTGTAAAAATTTATTTTTGCTGTTATGAGCTCACATGAGTATATGCTGAGTGCTTTTTAAGCACGAAAAATTGTCATGTATTCATAGTTAGTGTTTGTATAATGCAGGGAAGGAGAGAAGCAAGGAGTCCAGAGAGAGAGAGGTGAGGGAAGGGAGCAGGGAGGAGAGAAGACTGGAGAAAAGTGACAGTCAGAGCTCTGACAGGTCTGAGTCCAGAGCAGACACTGGGAAGACACCAGACAGTAAATCTTCAGAGAAAAAGGAACAAGGGTGAGATAATTATGAGATATTTTAGTTGATTCTGAAGGCACATAACTAAATTAAACTACAGACAGACATGTTCCAGTGCAGCTCAAACATATTTTGAAATAATTTCTTAAGTTATTTAAGAGATGGCATACTGTTTGCCTTGAGGAAATATTTTACATTTTCTTGACTCGGTATTTCCAGTTTTGTAGACAGCAATCTAAAAAACCCTTCAGTTGTGTATAGCTTTCTGAAGTCTGCCACTTTTATGTTGAATTTGGTTT